GGGGCGGAGCCCGCCGTCCACTTTACAACCAGGGGACCGCAGTCACGCTATGTTTGTGGGTGGGGGAGCCAGTTCACCGTATCCCGGTGTTATCGGAACACCGGTAACCTGGGCAGTAAAACCTGCTCAGACCGACGCTTCATGCCAATCCGAAGCCAGAGCTGCTCTGTCAATAAGCGTGAGCCGCAGAAACTTTCTAAGGAATGGGTTGGGTGCAGAATCACAGCTCACAAGTGCGAGTTCTGTGACGCGCTGACAAAGGAAGCAGAGCAAAGAGCAGAGGCGTTGGGACGCAAGTTTTGCTCGCTCTTCGCAAAACCTCATTTCAGAGAACAGTCGTGATCCTTTGCTCTCAACCCTCTTAGAAGCATTCTTTTTTCAATGTTTTATTTTTAAAATCAAAGCCGCCTGATTGCACTGGTGCACTAACTGAAGAGACCTCATTATCGTGATGACTCAAAAGCCCAAAGGAAATTTAAAAAGGGAACCCCAACAGGTCTTAAGACTACTGAGTCTTAAGATTATGCAACCAAAAAGTGTTTTTCCTGGAGCTATCTACCTAATGGAGATTTGAAGAAAAGTCAAGTCCGAAAGAAAAAGATTGACACTCAGTTTAACTCAAAACCACACCCATTAAACTGAAAATGTAGAAAACCCTACCCCTTTGCTATAATTTAGACTTTGGTGAATTTGTCTAATCTCCTATGGTACCATTAGAGACTATGTTGCCTAGTCACACACACACACACACACACACACACACACACACACACACCATTCAAACACTTGTAACACAAATAGCTTTACTAAAGAAGCAAGGGTTCTCCCGTGGCATTAGTACCATAAACTGTTAGGAAGGGTTTTAAGGGCTCAGTGTTCTTTCACTTTATCACCTGGGAAGAGAGAGCAAATTTCACATTAGATTTCCAGGGTTCTCTCAGGTAACTTTGATTCTCATTTAAGTGAATGTAGGGAATGTTTGTTTTTTGTCTGCCCAGGACACTTCCCTTCTCATGAGTAGGTCTGCCCCCTTTCCTGGATTCTGCTTCTGTTTCTTCTCTAGATGTGTAATTAGAGAAGTGTCCTTGTGTCTAGCTTTGCCTCTCCTGGTCCCCAACACTTGGTCAAGAGGCTAATATTGGACTGGAGCTGAATCAGTTGTATCCAATGCCTAGACTTAGTAATGAGGTCAAAAGATCAGCATGCAACTCAGATGTGCCAAGCAAAGTCATTTGCTAGCCTTCTAATGAGGTTGGGAATGCAAGCAGTCTCCTCTCCCCTCTCGGTGGAAAAACCTGTCAGCCAACCACAACCCTGTTAACTGCCACCTGTACAAGAGAATGGAACCAATGTTTTCTAGGAAGTGGTAGATTTCAAGGACTGAGGGCTCTATGACTTTCTCAAGGCAATCCTGGCTCATCTTTTCCTGAAGTTGACTAGTTTTCCTGTTGGTCCTGTTAGGCACTCTTGTATTCTGACAGAATATATATTTATGGCAATAACTATAAAATGAATGTGTTCAATACTTAAGATTTGTGATACTGTTCTAAACTTGCCTTTTCACAGAACCTTCATTTAGACATTTTCAGCATAAACAACTGCATAACATTCTCTGTCTTCTCTACCTCTCCCTATATACTTTGTGACACTGGGGATTGAACCAAGAGCATCACATATACTAGGCAAGTAAACTAATGCTGAGCTCCACTCCAATCCTTTTTTTTTTTTTTCTGGTTGGGGGAGGGAACAATAAAGTCCCAGTAAGTTATCTAGGCTGGCTTTGAACTTGTGATCCTCTCAACTCAGCCTCCTGTGTAGCTGTGATTACAGGCATAGACATGGGTCACCTTACCTGTACCACATCAACATTTCTAACAGCTATCCAATCTTGTATAAACAAGTTTATTTCACATTGTACTGTTTTCACTTTTCTCTTCTTCTCACTCTGCTTCAAAAGTGTCTTGTGAGGTCCAGGCTGGCTTCTAATTTGCTATGACCTTGAACTTCTGAGCTTTCTGCACTGACACACATGACTCAAATTACAGGTTTGTGCTACTATGCCCAGTTTTTGTGTTGTTGGGGAATCACTCAGGGCTTATGAATGCTGGACAGGAACTCTAAACTAAGCTACAGCCCCAGCCTGTAGTATTTCCAGCTCTTAAACTTTATAAATAAGACTCTGACAGACACTGAATACACATGCTAAGTACTTTCCCAACCCTCCCAATAACCTCGTGGAGCTTCTTTCATCAGAATTGGGTCATAGGTTCCTTGCAGATCTCATAGAATGCCTTGTGGAAATGACCTGATCTGAACCCACTCCTGGACATGGGAAGCCTCACAGGTGCTGTGGATAGAGTTGAGGTGAGGGTAAAGAGGTCTGGGTTCCTGAACACAAGGAAGATGGTGAATCAAATGCCTACCTCAATAGTTTTTAACATTTCAAAAATTTATACTCTTTAAAAAGTAGTAAATATTAATTCTTTAACAGCAATGTTTAGTTGCTAGCATGTACTTATGGGAATGCAATGTGTGTGTGTGTGTGTGTGTGTGTGTGAGAGAGAGAGAGAGAGAGAGGGGGGGGCAGGATGGCTTTGTAGTGTGTAGCAGAGAATGGTACTGACCTCCTGATCCCCCTGCCTCCACTTCCCAAATTCTGGTGATACAGGTATGAGGCACCCCATTGCTGTTTGTGATGCTGGGAGTGGAGCCCTGAGCCTCAGGCATGCTAGGCAAGCACTCTTATCAACTGAACTACAACCCCAGCCCACAACTCAGTTAAAGGCATTAGGTCTTTAGCAGAGACATACAATATCAGGAAAACGACCAATCTTCATTTCTTATAAATTCAGTGGCTACCTAAAGTCAAATGTGCAGATACAAACTTCATCATAATGAGGAAAAACAGAATCGCTTCTGCCAGGCACTCATCCAGATAAATGTGAACTATGACCCTCATAAAATCTCAGAAATGAAAGGTTTACATTTGTTTGTTTTTGAGATAACCTCTTACTATGTAGCCCAAGGTGTCTTGCAACTCAAGACCCTCCTCCCTCCTGATCCCACATTGGAGAACTGCAGGGGAGTACTATCACTACTGATGACAAAATATTTTTCTTTCAATATATAAAGAAGTTATCAATTTTTGGTTATATATATATATATATATATATATATATATATATATGCATGTCTGTGCATATGTGAGTGAAGGTGCCCTTAGAGTTCAGAAGAGGGCATGAGATCCTTTGGTTATGAAGCTATAGGTGATGCTGACTTGGCCAAAGTGCATGCTAGGACCTGAAATGTGAGTCCTCTGCAAGAGCAGTATGTGCTCTTAACTTCTGAGTCATCTCTCCAGTCCCCAATTTTCAGTTTTTTGAAGTGTTTTAATATTTATGAGGTGTTTATTGAAGGCCAGATTGAGATCCTGAAAATTTTATAAAAGGAATTTGAGTTTAATGGGAAGATTAATTTTAAGGAGTTATCATTACCCTTCTGAGTAGCAAATTCATTATGTGTGTTAAGTTGTTGTCATTAGAGCTTTATACCTTTTTGTTTTTAGAAAATATGAATGTAACAAATACTGAATTACATTTGAAACAATACATTTTTAAATGAAGCTCTTCCCAGTAGTGAGTAGGTCACAGGTGATACATTTACAGTCATGTAACATTTTACTATAGTTTCTTTTTTAAATTATTTATTTTTATTTTATGTGCATTGCCTCTATGTATGTCTGTGTGAGTGTGTCAGATCCCCTGGAGCTGGCATTACAGGCAGTTGTTGTCACATGGGTGCTGGGAATCGAACCTGGGGTCCTCTGGAGGAACAGACAGTGCTCTTAACTGCTCAGCCACCTCTTCAACCCCTGTGGTGAATGTTTTGATTTTCATATTTGAGAATAGACATTTACCATTTAAGGATCTAACTTGTCTCACAGGAAATTTGTTCAATAATTATAGTCAAAGGCACAAACAAATTCAAATTGTTACTTAATATGTTTCTGCACAAATTACAAAGCTTTTGAAGTTCTATAGAGATGTTATTTAAACTGTGATCTTCATTTTACCATATATTCAAGTTTATATTGTATATATAGGATGGATAAAAGATAGAGAGCCCAAACCTATAAATAGTATTCTGTGGTCTAACTCATTTCTAGACCACAGCTATTTGGGGTTCAATATGCAAAGCAGCTTTATAAGACCATCTACAGCTTTAAGTGGAATCGCATGCTATAACTCCAGGGTGAAAAAGCTCATCTTGGTGAGAAGAAAATGTGTTGGGGCGTGTAAAACAAAGCAAAGTGGCCTTTGTAGCTAACCTCCTTTGAAAACTAGAAGCTGTATGGCAAACGTCATAAAGAAACCAAGTCTGAGACATGTGTCTCTAATCCACAGTTAGGCTCATGTTCCAGGAGGACTGCCTGTCTGGCAGAGACAACTAATGCAACATGTGAGGCCCAGGTGCTTCCACTTACACTTACCCTGCGTCCAGCGCACGTCTATGTTCACATGATGGGCCATGCCCTTGGCCACTTCTATCAAAGCAAACAGTAAGTAGGACCTGACAGAGTTATGTTTGGGAGGGTTCTCAATTAAATGAGACATTGTGTATGACGTGCCTGGCAAACAGAATGAACCCAATAAATGTTAGCTTTTAAAAAAATTCTGCACTTGCACTGGAGGAAACCCAGAAATAGCAATGAAAGCGGCAGTTGTTTCCAACCTGGGAGGCCTGATTGCAACCATTTTATTCCAACTTACAAGAGGACAGAGTTGTATTGTGTTGTGGTTTGCAGGATGAAGACATGGTTGGACTTAACTGTAATTTTATCATGCCACCTTTGTACCATTCTGCATTGACTTGGGTGGACTTCCTGTTGCTTTTAGCAGACTTATAAGCAAAGTACCTATTTTCCTATACTGCTTTTCATAGGCGCATGGGAATGGAGAGGATGTAGAATGAAACAAATGATTGGGATGAATGACTGTCCTGTGGGATGAGTATTTTAGGGAAATTCTCACAGTAACAAACACACAGGAGTTCTCACAAGCTATAAGAGCTCTACAGGCCACGTGGAAAGCTGAATTTCATTCATATACAACACTCTATAAACTAAGAGGGCATCTTTTTTTTTTCTTTCAGGGGTCACTGACCCACAGGGAAAATATCAATAAAGGGCCACAAAGAAGCTAAAAGGAATTTAATCAAAAATAGTGGATTATCTTTAAAAGCAAAAACAGCTGACTCATAGTGAGACCATATCTATAATATATGTATATATGCATACACGTATATACCATATATATGTATATATGCACACAAGCATAAATATTCGACACCTGTAAAGCTCAATAGTAAAGAACTTGCCTAGTGCATGTAGTATCCAGACTCATTTCGAAGCACACACACACACACACACACACACACACTTACCAAAGAACAACAAAAGGATAGTACAGAATTGTATTCAATAAACTCTACATTGGGAGTATTTCAATTGCATTTTAGTTACAGAATGGGCAGGAACAGGATGGAGAAAAAAGGATGCGAGAGAGAGGGGAAAATAGAAATCAATTGATAATCAAATAAAAATACCAAGTTAGATGGTTGTGGTGTAAACCTTTAATCCCTGCACTCTGGAGGCAGATGCAGGGGAATCTCTGCGAGTTCAAGGCCAGCCTGGTCTACACAGCAAGTTCAAGGACAGCTATGGCAACACAGAAAAATCCTGTTTCAGTCCCCTCATGCAACCCCCCAACAAACGAAAAAAAAAAAAAAAAAGAAAGAAAAAATACCAACACAGGACAGTCTTTGGAACTTTTTTTAAATTACTTTAAAAAATACCAGTCATTACTTTAAAAAATATCAGTCATATTTTGAACTGTGCTAAATTGCTAACTTTTTTAGAAACTACACTTTTTTTTTCATTTTAAAGGATTTTTAAAAAAATCTGAGACTGTATTTTAATTACAACATATATCTGTTCCCACTTTCCTTCACATTTATGGCTTTTTTTTTTTTTTTTTTTGAGACAGGCTTTCTCTCTGTAGCTTTGTAGACCAGGCTGGTCTCAAACTCACAGAGATCTGCCTGCCTCTGCCTCCTTAGTGCTGGGATTAAAGGCGTGTGCTACCACAACCCGGCTCTTTCTTCATTTTTAAAATTTATTCTTCTCTCATATGATACATCCCATTACAATCTCCTGTCCCTTCACTCCTTCCAGTCCCCCTCCTGATCTCCCCTCTGCCTCACTCACATTTACTTCTCTATTTTCCTTCCGAAAAGATAAGGTCTCCCAGTGATATCCACCAGACATGGAATAACCAAGATGCAATAAGACTAGGCACATTTTTCATCAACTGTTATTGCATTCATACATCGATTTGTATATGTGTATATATTACCAAATATACGCTGTTGAATCCACATACTGTTATTTGTATGTATGTTTTCAGGACAGACCATTTTTGCATAGAACAACCTATTGAAAATACACTTCTTATTCCTATTCTTTCAGAAGAGATATTAATATCTTTCCTTTGGAATTCTTACTGGGTCTACCATTATCTAATTAAATTTTCTATTATGATGAAAACTTTATGGGTACCACATGTGACATTTCAGTACTTGAAGTGAGGCTAGTTAATTAACAATGGGATTTCTAAATTTCATATCATGTAAGTCTACTCTCGTGGACACTGAAGGTTTGAGGGCCATTTAGAGTGACAAGGAAAATGGACTCAAGGTGATGTGTAAATGAGTAAGCATACATCAAAGTGAATTACACTCTTTCCACAGGATTTCACCCCATTTCAGAGGCTTGACTTATTAAGTGCTCAGTAAAGAATATCATTGCTGAAAGTGTATTTTCCATAACTTCAGTGTGAAGTAACACGTCTCATGAACTAAGCCCTTCATCTGGACTACTTTTGAACCAGAATGAAATTCTACGCAAACTTTTCCCATTCAATCTGTACTCCCCGCAATGACCGAGAACCTGCTTTCCTGCTTACCACGCCATCCACAAGCATCTTTTCCCTCCATTTGAGAGCAATGACTGCCCCTGCTGTATACCACATGGTCCCCACTTCCTGCATCTCCCGCCTCCTCATCAGCCTCGGCTGCCTGCTGTCCCCGCGAGTTCCCGAACCCCATCCCTGTCCGTCACAGATCTGCGCGTAAATCAGCCCTTTCCTCCGAACCCAGCCACCCGCGCCAACTTCCGCCTCGCGTGCCTTCGGGGTTAGTGATGCAATGCTCCGCTTCCGCGTCGGCGACAGCATAGGCGTGACGTCACCGCGCCCTGACGTCAGGCCAACGTGCAGCCGGGTCGCCCGGGAGACAGGGGAAGCCGTTTCAT